GCGGGTTTTCAGGTGGTGAGCCGGAAGTTTATCCGACAGCTATATTCATTAGCTAATAACGATGATGGCAGCTGAACAACATGTAGCATTAATTTAGAACATTTGTGTTAGTTGGTATAGCGTATAACACTTATTGTTTTGTAAAGTTATTTTGATTAACCTTTGTAGGACACATATTATTATATAATAAATATCAGCGGCAATGCATAAAATGAAATAAGCGATAAAAGAATATGTTATGTGCAGCTATCGTAAGTGCATAAAAGCAACATTTCTGTCTTATTTAGATAGCTTTATCCTTCTTCATTGTTGTTCTCTAGCATGAAACAGAAAGCTTAGCAAGTACGCCTAGGTGAAATTTACTGACATTTAGGGAATATTCGCGTTCCTCATTCGTGTGGCCCGTACCATCATAAAGCATGAAGCAAAGGTTAACCAGAAACGAATAAAGCCGCTTTACGATCCTTCACCACAACAATTATTGGTTAACACACTGTTGTTTTTAGCCTAGTGCACTGAGAGCAAAGGAGACGCGATTTGGCAAACGCTAGCAAGGCTTGCATAGAATGCAATATATCCCTCGTACCTGCCACAGCAAACGTTTTTTAAAGAAGCAACCCATTTACCGAAATGACATCTAGGCTCAGTAAGTCACTATCATTACATATTGTGAATTGCCTTAAGTACTTGGCCACGAGAGTACAGGCAAACTACGCAGAAATTGCTCCCATATAGCAGGTTTTAAGTGGTGACCTCGCTAACCTTATTTTTGTGGGAAAATAAGGTCAACACGACATCGAACATTTCGCAAGTATGTATCTAGCGATAAAATGTAATGAGAAAAATGCTTATTTTAATGGCGCCACAGGTAGGTGTAGCGCTGCTCAGAAAGACAAATTTGTTCATACGTCCAATCCGTCTGCATTCAAGTGCGAGCCCAGGAACAATTAAGTGCCTATACTGTAATGTTAAGTTGCATTTCGAGGTAGCGAAGGTCAACGGTGCCTAAATGCTTAAATCACAAGGCGCTTCCGAACAAATAGTACGCCGTGAGTGTTTTCATCAGACAAGTTGATATGATCGATATGATCTATTCCGGTCGCACGCATACCTAGCTGATGTTTACATTCAGAGGGCTGCAAGTTATTTAGAACTCTAAGTTCAATTAAGAGTTGAAGAATGGCAGATACCTAGAGCACTATGCTAATACATTGCTACTGGTGATAAGGGGCAAAATATCACAATGAAAGTCTACAAAATGCGTAGTTTAGAATAGATGTTTTGTTGTCTACCCCACATTATCAGATCTTTCAAGAAAGAACATATTTAGTATATTATTGATTCGCGTATATTTCATCAGCCTATTATGAAATGAGATAGAAAGGAAACCTGCGATTTCCAATCCCTGCGCGTATGAAATGTAATTCTGGAAGAAGTCATTATGAACACTAGCTTTACGAAGAGAGCTATTCGGTGAAAAACAATTTCCACTAATTTAACCAGAAATCTCAGTAATGAAGCAAATATTGGTGCACAGGACTAATTGTTGGGCAACTATCATTTCCAAGTCATTGTGCATTAGAAGCCAATTGCAAGGTAACTCAAAATTATAAGCTACCATGGTGAATAAATCCACTGTACCGTCAACTCCGAGATGTTATAGTGCAATATTTTTGTGGAGCTTATGATGGTTGGAGTACAATACCAATGAACAGTAACGCAAAGTGCCCAGCCTAGGACACTCAATACACGGAAGGAGTGTTTGGACCTGTGTGATTGAGTCCGTGTAATAAGCCAGCTTACTTTTTGACTTGATTAAGCATGTCACATTTTTCCTCTATCGATCGACGATGCATAAGCGCATAATATTCCTTTTCCTTATGAAGCCTCTTGTAATTTTCTTCTTGCTTTCTAAAGTGTAAAGACGTTTAGGTATGTACGTATGAGTAACCAGCTTACTTGACGGTGTCGTTTAGCAAACAAATTTCCTGCTTCGACATAGAGAGACTTTTCTTTGTTTCACTAAGTTCAACGTAAACGCTGGGGACTTGCCCAGCCTCCGTTAACTCAGTAGAACCTTTGTGCATTTGTCGAAAACTTTAGGAGTAAGAAAAATTGAGGAAATTAAATATTTACCGTTCTACCTGAAAAGCATTTAATGTGTCAATGAAATTATTTTCCAAAAGATAATTCCTAATATACTCGTCGGCAGTCGGCAATAGAAAATCTGTTTGTGCTGTATTTTGCATTCGTCTAAATCCATCTTGTGCCTAATATTCATATCAGCTTTACGGACATATATACCTTTTCTACGCCTTCAATCCTGCTTTGTTCGTTAGTGATATCCTCCACAGTTTCATCTGTAGGAATAGTACCGAGTTCAGCTGGCTGGACACTCTCACACGAGAATGAAGACTCTTCGTCCACTGGTATATCCACTACTGTATAAGAATCTTAGTGAAAGAACTAAGGTTCACACTCTGAAAATAGTATTTCCAGTCATCCATTATCGAGATAATCGGGGACAAGTTGATGAATGAACAGGAACTTGGCTTGGAGATTACAATATATTAGGCGCTCCTATATTGCCATAACGACAGGCAGCCTAACTGACCTTGAACTAGGTTAGGTCAGTTCAAATTCCAAGGACTACAGAGAAGCCCGCCTAACGAACGCTCTGTTCTTTATACCGGTGAACGGGGCCGTTTGATTGCACTATGAGAAAATTGTGTTGCCTTAGGACGTTCCGTGGTACAAATGGTACTTTCCACTCTATCAGAACCCATCCTGATGGCGCACGACCCAGAGACGGTAGTGCGGACTTCCTTGAGGTAGTACTTAGCAAAGTGCGTAGCCTAAGGAACAAGGTGCATGAGTTGGGTCTACTTGTAGACGAATCTCCTCCCGACATACTTCTTTCACTGAAAAATGGTTGTCTCTGGATGTCACGGACGGTGAGGTATATTTACCTGGCTACGCGCTGCTTAGAACTGATCGCTCCGTTGGTCGCCAAGGCGGAGGCGCCGTACTGTATGTGAGCTGTAAGTTAGATGTGTTGGGGACCTGCACATTCCAGTCGTCGGATGAGACTATTGAAGCCCTATCGGCTGTTTTGTGCACTTCCTCTACCCAGTTTACCATCATAGTGATATACGTAAGTTCTGGAAGTTCTTCCAGGGGGATACTTGACTTTATCCCCACTCAGCCTGCGAATAAGTGTATTGTTCTAGGGGATTTCAACCTCCCGGAAGTCTGTCGGGCCGATCTTTCCTATAATTCGTCATCAGGAACATTTGGTGCAGACTTTCTTCAGCTGACTCTCCAAGTGTTTTTCACCAGTTTGTGGACTTCCCCACTAGGTATATGGACAACCAAATACCATCTACTTTAGATCTGGTTTCGCTAAGTCCCTCAACTTGCTGACCGACGTTTCATACTTTGCACCTCTAGCTTCCAGCGATCACGCATTCATATCGTTTCTGTGTGCTCTTTCAAGGCACTAAGAGACCGCTATTGAATTACTGCCGAATATTTGGCGGGCGGACTTTAGTGCAATGCGAGCTAAGGCTTCAGTTCTGAACTGTGAGATCTCGATGGCTGACTCTGTCCAGTTAGCCTGGGATAAATTTAAGGCCCACCTTACGGAGATTTCGGCTTTCTATATTCCGCTCATGAGAAAAAGAGGGTTAAGGGCACAGCTCCCATGGATAGGTACCACTGGCAAGTACCTACTCAAGAAACGGCCTAGAGGACGGCGAAGCTACCAAGCAGCTCCATCAGCCAGCATCTATGATAGTTATAGAGAGGTTAGAAATAAATATAAGCAACATCTCAGAACTGTTCGTCTCCAGTACGAACAGGGTTTAGCGGACGCGGCCGCAGCTAATCGCAAGAAGCTTTTGTTTACGTTAAAAGACGCAGCGGGGCAAAACTGTCCATACCAGCTTTATTACGAGCAGACGGGACCCGTGCGCAAACTGACTATTACAAGGCTTGTGTACTTAGTGCTCAGTATACTGGGGTCTTTCCTCGGGAGACCTCTTTACCACAGGTTGAATTGGTTTCAAGAGTTTCAGAGGATTCTTGCTCAGCTGAATTTAGCGTAATGGAGACTCAGGTCTTCGAGCTACTGCAAGGCATTCATCCCTCTAAAGCTTCCGGCCCTGATTCAATTCATCCGAATCTGTTGCATGAATTGGCCACTGAGCTGAGTGGTCCACTCACATGCGTGGTTTCATTATCGCTGGACAGCTGCAGCCTACCTTCGGAATGGAAGGAGGCAAGCATCTGTCCGATTTTTAAGGGCGGTGACAGCGCTCTACCCGCGAACTACCGGCCTGTCAGTTTGACAAGCGTAGTAGTCAAGTTGTTTGAAAAGCTGATAAGGGATTCAGTGGAGAACCACCTGAGTAGATTCAACCTTCTCAGTGCTGCGCAACATGGATTCCGTAAAGGATTTTCGTGTCAGACGAATCTAGTTGTAGATCGTGAAAGCTGGGCCGAAGCAGTAGACAGTAGCCACGCTGTACACGTTCAATTCGTGGAATTTTCGAAAGCTTTTGACGCTGTTCTACATCTTCGGCTCTCACTAAAGTTGAGATTTTACGGGATATTTGGTCGCGCCCTTCAATGGGTGTCTGCCTTCCTTGAGAGGAGGGAACAGTGCGTACGGGTGAGGCGTAACCTTTCGCTCATGCAAGCTGTCCTTAGTGGCGTCCGCGGGGCTCAATATTGGGGCCATTGTTGTTCGCGATCTATGTAAATGACTTGCCGGGAGAGCTAGGGGTGTCATCACTGATGTTTGCTGACAACCTTAAGCTCTGGAATATTGTGGATATCCCGGGGGTCCTGAGGCCATTCAGCATGCCTTGGCTAGGCTCTGGGAATTGTCTACCTTTATGGTTGATGCTCATAACTCTGGCCAAGTTCTCTGTCCTCCGAATCGGAGCTGCAAATCCTCCAACCCTATATGTTGTCGGCTGTAGTGAACTCCCAGTTGTCATTCAGCAGGTTGATTTTGGAGTCGTACACGCATCAGCACTTCCTTCTGGAGACAACTGGAAGAAGGCTGCTTGTGAGGGTTTCGTATGATGGGGTTCATCCGCCGCTCTTTCGGAATCTTAACGGTTAATTTGTTTGTAAAGCTATATTCGGCATTCGTCCGACCCCACCTGGAATATTGTATTCAGGCTTGTCCACCATGTCTTAACCGAGAAAAAGGAACTTGGAGAGGGTGTTACGAGTGAGCACTCGGTTAGTGCAGGGTCTAGGGGACAGACGTATTCTGAACGCTTGCTCATTTTGGGATGTACTTAATGCACTACCGAAGGATAAGAGGGGACCTGATTCTCACTTATCGCATTTTGACGGGTAAGATTGGCTCGGACTTCTCAGGGCTATTTAGTCCCGCTACGTTACCTAATCTCCGCGGTCACCCACTGAAACGGCATAAACCACGGTCTGATTGGATTAGGATGGAAACTTGCCTATCGCGCCGAGTTATAGATCGCTGGAATTCGCTTCCAGTTCACGTGGTTAGGGAACCTACCGTTAAGGGTTTTGCGCGCCAGTTCGACGCCCTTGGGTGGCAACAGCAAACTTTTCCTTTTTCTTAGCTGACACACCTTCACTTATCAGTTCGTTTTTTAATGACTTAAATATCTTGGTACTAAACTTGCATAGCTCTTTCCACTTTCTCTTTTGCCTTCTGGGTTTACTTTTTCTTACTTCACGTAACCGACCCAGCAGGGACTGCTAGGGCAGGATGCATGTTCATTAATTGTTTGGACAGGGTGTGATGCAGTCGTTGTTTTATGTCCATCAGTATTTCAAAGGTTGTCAACTCCTTGTTCAACAACCCGCCGAAGGAGGAATCCTATCGTTCCAGTCCCGCTAGAACTTGAACTTGAGCTTGAATGTGCAAATAGCTTGAAATAGCTGGAAGGTGTGGAGGAAATTGGATTGTGTGTGAATTATGATACCATAGAAATGGTAACCGGTAAGGGTGCATATGTATGATGTTTGTTTTATTATTTCGGTGGCCATACTTGTTTTTTCTGCTACCGCTATGGTTGTGGATGATAGTGAGCTGTTCAGGTCTTTGGTTATTGGGAAGTATGAAAGTGTTGAAGACATTGAGGAGCAAGTGGGACGTTTTCAGATTGAAACGGCGACTTGTTTTTCCCGAGTTTCCTCCATGTCTGCTGCGGCGTACCAGCGTGGAAGGCGGAAGCAGTTGCCGGATGCGGACGGCTACGGTTACATCCTGTACCGTTGCGTACATTGTCAACGTTCTGGATCGCGTGGCAAGCGGTGAGTTAATATTTATGCAACACGTAAACTAACGCATGTAGATACAAATCGTACAAATGCAAGGCGCGATTCTCGGTGGTTGTGAAGGAGGGTAAATATGTCGTGGGAAGTTACTTCATGATCCATAGTCATGATTTCCACTTGGGTAACCCCTGGCTGTATGCACGCAACCGTCGGCTGTCACCGCGGCAGGAGAAGGAGGTGCTGCGTTTGATGGACAGTTTTCATAGCACGCCGGATTTGAGGCGCTTCATCTATCAGGAGTACGGCAAACGTGTAACCCGTATGGACCTGAGTAATCTGCGCATTCGTCATCGAAATAGAACGTCATGTGAAGTGTCTGAGGTGGCAAAGATGTTGGAAGGTCACGGTGTTTGCCGATTGGTGTCTGAGGGTAGCCAGATTCGGTATGTATTCTTCTCTCCATCTGTAGTCCGTGGCATGGTTAAGCGTTATGGCGAGGTTTTATTGTGCGATGCGACACACCAGTTAAATTATGGTGGGTACATTTTGTGGCATTGCATGTTCGTGGACGTCACAGGTCTAGGGATTTCTTTCTTCTACGCCCTATTACCGGATGAGACGTCCTATAGCTATGGGCAAGCGGTGGAGGCGATGCGGGAGATGGTGCCTAGCAGCATACGTTGCCGCACGGTGGTGATGGATAAATGTGCTGCTCAGTTGCGGGCGTTTCGACGTTTGTATCCCAACGCGAAGATAGTGTTTTGCCGGTACCATGTTAAAGTGGACATGGCTAGACGTTGCGGTCGCATACGTGGGATATCAGATGCTCGCCGAATCCAGTTACGCGCGTGGCTTCATAACCTGATATATACTCGTGATGCGTCGGTATTTGAAAGAATATTGAACGCGGTGCGACGTGGCAATCCGGAATGCTACCGGTATTTGTGCGCAACGTGGCTCCAACACGCAGACTCTTGGGCGGCTCACAGACAAAGGGATGCTGTGCTTTTTGGATGCCATACGACAAACAGGGTAGAGAATGAGAACAAGCATCTTAAGGAGTATTTGTCGGAGAGGTCATCCTTGCTCACTCTGTTCACCTGCGTGGTTGATAGGGTAAGCAGTATCGTGCACGAAAGAAACAGCATAATAGCTAGGCGTTGCATGAGCGCAGTTTCTATTCCATCGGAGGTGTCCTCAGTGGCTTCGGTTTTCGCACAGCTCAGCGATTTCGCAGGGAATGTCTTCATAGCCCATTTTCGTGCATCCACCGTTCTGGGTTGTCGGTCTGATGGGCC